GTTTCTGTTCCATCGAGTGTCTATAGTGAAGGAAGAGTGAGGGCACTGGGCAGATGATGAATATTAATTGAATGTGGCATTTAGCATGAAGTGAGGTTTTTTTCAGTCTCGGGTGGATTGACAGTGATGGGCATGCCTTGGATAAACCCAGTAGAGTAGAGGGTGATGTGATGCATATGGTCGTGATTGAATGGGAGCTTGACTGGGATCTTTCCCTATAGGGCCTCATGTAAACCGTGCATGTTGGCTTAGAAAGCATCTCAGAGACGGCATTTTTAAGGTCTGTTCGTTTTTAGTACAAATGCTCAAGAGCCTGATATCTGGAGTTGGTCGGTTTGTCAAGTATTAAATATATCCTGAGTGGAGGACAGTTAGTAAGTATGTACGGTAAAAGAACCATCAACTGAAACCATCCTAGGGTGGAAACAGATGCAATTTGTGGAAGTTACGTTAGTTCAGTCTGGCGTTTGCATGTGTGTCTAGGTAAGGAATGGTTTTATGTTTCCACATGTACATATGTTTGTGTGGTCAACATGTTTGAGTGCTATGTTGAGTTGTTTGGACATCAAGTTGTGGAGATGGAAAATGTAGTTTTGTGTTGGTAGGAGTGGGAGGATAGGTTGAGAGCTACACCAAGAACATTTGAGAAAGGCTGAAACAAAGAAGGGCCTCGTCTGCCTCATGGCCTAAACCACATTGGGCATTTCGGCTCCATAAAAATGTCATGAAGCAGTTTTTGCTGAAGACTTCCTTGTTTGGTGAAAGTGAGCTTCTATAGTAGGAAGGTGTGAGTGTACTGTTGAGTCACTGAGGTCAAGCATTTATTTGCATTGCTTTATTGATGTATTTCTCTGTGATGTTGAGGTTGGTTTGTAGGTATATTTCAATAAAGCTTTGAGAATTTTGTCTTTAATCAGGGTGCCTGACTTGAAGTCCAGGGAGTCACATAGAACACTGTGTTCATGAGTAGTACCCAATGTTCAAAGGAGCTCTAGTAGTGTAGTGGTTTCGAATCGGGCTGCTAACCACAAAGTCAGTAGTTCGAAACTATCAAGCTGTTCCATGGGAGAAAGATGAGATTTTCTGCTCCTGAAAGATTTACAACCTCAGAAACCCTGTACAGGGTCGCTATGAGCTGGTTCTAATCTCACGGCACATAACATCCACTACCACCCAATGTTCAAGACTCAGATGATTAGAAGACATGCATGGAGAGGTGGTACCTACACTGGGCAGAGAAGGGGGATGTTAAGGACAGGCTGTATTGGACCATATTTGCTGAGATTGTCATGTATGTTTATGAATAAGGTAACACTAGTCCAAGTCATGTTCCCCTCAGTGTGCAACTCACAGGATTATGATTGTGGGTCATGTATATTCAATGTGCATCGAAAGGAGTTATGTTTGGGTTGTGTCACCATCCAGAGTACTGTGGCAACACCTAAGCTGTCAGTATTTTCATGGAGCATCAGATCCGAAAAGAGGCTTATCAAATTAGCAACCTTGGTTTCTCAGAGCCCTCCATGGTGAAAGGGTCATAGCAAAAGATATGTTATCCATCAGACCACTAATTATGATTAGATGGGAACATGAGTGAAAAACTGAATTTTTAGGAAGAACAGGTAACATGACTGGTCATTCTTAGGAAGTCACGGCAACTAGTGAAGCCTTTGGGTCAGCCTTGACACACAAACAAAGATAAGGAGGCTATAAGAATGTGGTGGTTTGTAATTAAGCAAGACTGGACTTTAGATAGATCAGATCTAGAGAGTGTTAGGAGATCCATTTTGAGTATCTTGTTTTTTATTATAATGGGATGTCTTGGAGGCACAAAGAGTTAAGCACTCCACTGTTGGTCTGAACAACACTAGATATTTCTCATGTGAAAACCACAGCAATGTGTTTCTGTATGGATTGTTGTTGTTGTTAAGGACCTTGAAGTCGGTTCCGACTGATAGTGACCCTGCACAGGGTTTCCGAGGCTGTAAATCTTTGCGAGAACAGAAAGCCTCATCTTTCTCCCACAGACTGCAGGTAGTTTCGAACTGCTGACCTTGAGGTTGGCAGCCCCCTCGTAACCACTACACTACCAGAGCTCCTTGTAATCTGTATCGATTACAGCCAAGAAAATCATATCAGATAGTTCTATGTTCTCACAGGGGTCCCAGTATGAATCTGAACTGTCTGAACGGCACCATTCATAACAACATACTTTAAAGGATGAATTCTCTAACTTCAGATTTCATATGAATGCCTTTCTCTTGTGTCCAATCCTGTTTTTGTTGGGAAGTATAATGGGATTCTTGCAAAGAATCGATACTTTGTCTACAACACCAGAGAGTATCAGTATGGCATAATGTAGTGAGGCAAATTCTTTTCATTAGATGAGATGAGTGCTGTGAAGGAAAAGTAACCCTGATTAGGTAGACTTATGGTCTGTATGGAGACCTGGTACGGCTTTCAGGGTTAATGCACCAGACTGCAAAGCCATTTCAACTGCAAGT